TTTTTTTTAAATCATTTTATTAGGGGCTCATACAACTCCATCACAATCTATACATACGTCAATTGTGTAAAGCACACTTATACATTCGTTGCCCTCATCATTCTCAAAACACTCGTTTTCCGCTTAGGCTCCTTGAATCAGCTCATTTTTCTTTTTTTTTCCCCCTCCCTCCTTGCGCCCCACCCCTCATGTACCCTTGATAATTTATAAATTATTATTTTATCATATCGTACACTGCCTGACGTCTCCCTTCACCCACTTTTCTGTTGTCCATGCCCCAGGAGGAGGTTAATATGTAGATCCTTGTAATCGGTCCCCCTTTCTACCCCCCCTTCCCTACCTTTGGATATGATACTATCATCATATACAAATGTATGCTGGGATTTTGGTAGTGTGGTGGGGGCGGGTTTTGTGACCCAGAATAAAACCTGGAAAATAGTGTTCTGTTTTGTGTACATTCTTTTTCAAAGCACTCAGTTTGGATTTTATAATGCATGTTTGCTTATGAAATGCATTGCTTTAATCGTATGAATAATGAATAAAATGGGTTATTTTGACAGGGCTTTGTATGTGTATATCAACCTTACTATCTAGACTCTAATTCAAGTGACTTGAATTAGATATTGCACAATGTGTTTCACAAAAGGGGGTGGGGCTGAAAGGGGAAAATTCGCTTTCCCACTTTGCTCCATCCAAGCTGGCTCAGGCACGCACCCGACTAGTTAATTCTCAACGGAAACAGGAAAGCGCCGGCGAACCACAACGGGGCTTCTGGGACCCAATGCCCACGCACAGAGCCATCGGACGGCGGCGTCCACAGAGTTTTCAGGAACCTCAGAGACCCTGGGAAGCGGTCCCTCCTCTCCTATGAGGTCACTATCAATCAGAAGCAAATCACTGACCAGGTGTTTGTTTTGCTTTGATTTTTAAGTCAAAATGTAAATATTTTAAAGAATCCAAGAAGGCCAAAGGCTTTGAGATAAAATGGCAGAGAGTGGAGGTGGGGCGCTTCATTAAACCTTATTGCAGCAGTGTCTGAGGTACATGAATAATTTTAAGATTAAATAATATGCTGATATTAAACTGAATTAACAAATGTCTGTTGTAATAAGTTCATGATTTGTTTTGAGGAAAAATGATTTGTTTTGTATATACATAAATCTATATACAGATATGCTGTTGTAAGAGATATGAGAACACTGCTTCATTATCTTATTAATGGTAAGTTTATTTGATAAACCAAAAGTGTACTCATCTGACTAAAGTATATAAGTTATGCTACATAGCATTAACAGATAAATGGGTTTCTTACCACTGGAAAATGTTTTTGATTACTAGTTTGAAAAGCTGATTCATTCTTTGAATAGTCTAACTTCCAAGTGAAGGGTAGTTTGGATGCACAAAAAAAGGGTGATGCTTCAGCGTTGTCTCACACATCATTCCTGACCAGTTGAAAGTTCATGAGGAAACATGTGACCCCAAACTACTTACCTTGTTCTTCACCCCAGCCTGGGTGGAACTGTTTCTTTATGACTTTCTATATTGCTCTCTGGGATCCCGGTGGTGCAGTGGTTAGGCACTGGGCTGGCAACTACAAGGTCAGTGGTTGAAAACCACCAGCCAGCTCCTGGGGAGATAGTTTAGCTCCTGTAAAGAGTTTCCCTCTCGGAAACCCACAGGGGCAGTTCCACCCTGCCCTGTAGGGTCACCATGAGTCAGAATTGACTCAGTGGCAATGAGTATGATTTTGTTTGGTTTTGAATATTGATCTAGAACAGACATGGCATCTGGATACTTGTCTGGAAGGCCATCTAAGATAAGGTGACCAGATGTTAACATGGGTAAAGCGGGACACCATTGATAAAACTCATATCCTGGCGAAATAGCCACATGGCAGCCGAAAACTGTATACCCTAGCTTGTCATGCATTCTTTCCAAAAATCAGGACTTTTTAAAACGCCGTGGGACGTGGAAAAAATTGTTAAAAATCGGAACTGTTCCGCCAAAAGCAGGACGTCTGGTCACCTTAATTAAGACGACTCTGTCCATGGGGTCAATCAAACACCCCAGGAGACTGCTTGGGCATCCTGGGAGTTACTGTTTTCTCCAGTTGCTATGGTAGACTTTTGTGATTATCACTTTTACGTAATAACTTCAATTAGTCTTTATAAATATGTCCACTTGTCTACAGGATTAATTAACATTTACCCTTTTAGCTGGATGCCTTTTCAAGTTGGTATGTCTTCATTGATTTAAAATGGGTTTCACATTCAATTAGTAAAATGTAAAATGCTTGCAGTAGCAAACCCACGTGAAAGAACTTAGTGTATTCTATGTACTAAATGAAGACAACCTAAGAACTTGGTTAAACATTTTAGATGGACTGAAAAGCTATTTTTAAAAAGACAGAATAGCTAGTGTTAAATTTCAGGGGTGGTCTTGTTGAAGAGGGAAAAAGAAAGGTTTGTCTCAAAGCAGAATGTCTGGTTGTGAAAGATGGTTCAGGCTAATTTGAGGGTCTGTGTTAAGTTGTAGATTGTGGGGAAGTAAACTTTATTTGCTTCTGTTGAAAAAACTAGAAACAGTGACATATTTTAAACCCTGTATGATATGATGACGGGTTCATAAGATAGAAAAAGGTGAGTGAATCTTTCATTATAAAATGTTACCTGAGTGATAATACTTTCTGCTTAAACAGCAGTAGGATCACAGGCAGGGCCTGTGATCACTTAGTCCTGGCCTCCCAACAAGGCCATGGCGTGCCTGGCTAATGCTTAGCGTCCACTGGCCACTCCCTTATTGGTACACCTCAAAAACCCCTTCTTCAGAGGAGGTGGAAAGGCACATCGCCATGTCCCACGGTCACCCTCATTTAACGATTCCTCTACAATGGTGTTCAGTAATTTTCTATAGAAATTCATGACAGGCGGGGTGGGGGTGAGGTGACATACTGTCTCTGAGAAGGTGAGTTCATTGTTGTTGGCAGGTAACCTACGGACTGGTCCCATCTGATCACATGCCCAAGGACATGTGCGGTAATGTTTCACCGTTCTTGCTTGCAGAGAGCAGTCTGGTTGCATTTCTCCCAGAACAGATGGGCTTGCTCTCCGCCAGTCCAGGTACTTTCAATCGTCTCTGCCAACAGTACGACTCAAATGGGATCGAGTCCCCTTCAATCTGCCTTATTCACTGTCCAGCTTTCACACGCAGATGAGGTGACTAAAAGGACAAAGGCTTGGGTCAGGTGCACCTGGGTCCTCAAAGTGACATCTGTTTCTTAACACTTGTTAAATGTCTTTGGAACCAGGACCTCGCTCTCCTTATGTGAGAGGCAGCTCTAACGATGACAAAGGAAGAACGCTTCTCACACATCGACTCTTCTACTTTGCTTAGTGGCAAGAATGCTACGTAAAACCAAAGGATGAGCTACTACTCTACCTGAGCGCAGAGGGCCGGCCTAAGAAAAGTACCCAGCCCAGTTCACCAAAGAGCCCTAAGTCAGGTCAAACTTAAATTATAATAATACGGTACCAATCCGGTACCTTGACTTCCCTCTCCTTTGCCCACCCCCCCACCCCCGCCAATCATGTCTCCCTGCCTATAAAAACATTTGGCAGCACCATATCAAACTCCCTGATAGAAAGCCAGCAGTCACCACACACTCACGGTACGTTCTTTTATTGATGGATGACCAAAGACTCTGGACTCTTTCTATATATTTCGAGAGGAAGGTCCACTTCTTTCCTTGTAGAAGAGGACTAGCACAATAGACGAAGGAGGCTCTTCTGCCGACCTCGCCCTAGAGGTCACAGTGAAAGCTGTTCTCCCCCATCTTGCTGTGCCCTGGAATTTCATCCTGCGCCCCTTGAATGTTCTGCTCCATCGTGTTTTCACGGTTCTCAGCCATCATCTCAGAAGATGGGCCGTGACCTCCAAGGTCATTCCTCCTATTCACTCTGATTTGTAAACAGGGCACCTCTTGCTCAGAGTCCGGGCGCGGCAGCCAGGCATGCAGACCAGAGCTCCCGAGGCGCAAGGATAGTCATATGGATTCCGGCTGTCAAGTCCTTTGTCAGGCCTCCAGTAGCTTTTCTCCATGGGAAACGATGCCACACATCTTGTTCTCACTGGCCCTCCAACGCACAGACTGACTTCCTGCTCTCACAGCATCTTTGCTCGTCTCCTCTACCTCCTTATGTCCTCTTCCCAAATGCAGCGGGGCCTTTTGGCCCTATTTACCGGGTGAGAAGTGCAAGTCCACTCCTCTCGGGGCAGGGTGAGGCCCACAGAAGGACTCCAGAGAGGAGAGGAACTCGCTGCTTCAAAGAAAAGCTTCCACTCAAACACACGGAGGAACAGTTGGCCTAGCCCCACCTGGTGCACAGGTGAGGGAGGGCTGCATGTCCACAGAGGCTCCTCCCTCCACAGTCCCTGGTCTCAGCTCAATAAAGGAAGTACCAAAGACCTCCCCCACCTCCCTTTGTCTTCTTCCCTACCCTGGGCCTCTTCAGCAAGTAGCTGCAAGCAAACCTTATTCCTACTTCAGAGCGGACAACGCAGCATATTTTCAGTTTTTCTAAAGCAGCAGCAAAAACTGCTAACTGCTCCCTTGGACACTGACTGCATCAGCCTGCATTCCCTCGTCAACTCAGGCTGTTTCCATTCATAAGCGCGCAATGCCCAGGAGTCATCATTCAAGCACTCCCACAGACAAGGGGGCCCAGAACAGTGAAAAAGAGCAACACCGTCAGAGTTCTACCCCAGCTGTTGAGCCTCAATGTGATGTCCCACAGAGGGCCTGCCTCATCCTGCCTGGCCCTCTACTTCCGCAACCTGACAATCCCCCCCGCATTCAGCGACTCACGCCTGTGAACAACATGTCCATAGCAAGCGAGACAGACAATGCCATGCTGCGAGCCACGAGGTTTTCTTAGTAAGTAGGTCTCCAGGGCTTCCCTCCTCGTCCTCGATTGAGAGCTCCATCATGAGTGACCTGCTGGTACTGGAAATGCTGGTGGGATCGCTTGCTTCCAGTCTCGGAGAAACACACGCTACCAGAGAACAAGAAACTGGCAGAGGAGTGGTGGTCCTCGCCGACACTGGAATAATGTACCCATCACGGTGGGGTAGTGGTTATGACTGAGGCTGCAATCAGCATGATCAGCAGTTCAAAACCACCAGCAGCTCCGAGGAAGAAAGACTGAGTTTTTTACTCCCATTCACAGTTAACAGTCTTGGAAACCCATGAGGGGTGACTGTGAGTCAGCACTGACTTGATGGCAGTGTTAGTACATGACAGGAGCCCTGGTGGTGGAGCGGTTACAAGTTGGGCTACCAACCGCAAAGTCAGCAGTTCGAAACCACCAGTGGCTCCTAGGGAAAAGGGGCTTTCTACTCCCATAAACAATTACAGTCGCAGGGTCTGCTGTATCCTGTGAGTCAGCATCGGCTCGACGGCAGGGAGTTTGGTTGTCTGGGCTTAGTACCCCATGAGGAGCTCTAGTTTCGCACTGGTCTGTGATTCACAAGGTCAACAGGCTGAAACCATCAGCCGCTCCCACAGAGAAAGACGGGGGCTTTCTACTCCATGAACAGATTCGCTCTCAGAACCTCTTGGGGCCACTCTACCCTGTCCCACAGGGTCGCCAGGAGTCGGCATTGACTTGATGGCAGGGAATCTGGGTTTGCTTGACTACCACGTGGGATCTGGTGAGGATGAGCTGAAACCTAGGTAACGAGCTTAGCCTGGCATGTCAGAGGAGCTTCTCGGCAAAAGGTACACTATGGGCCAGTCTGGGGAGGGGAGAGGGGGCAGGCCAGGCCAGGACACAACAGCCCGCGGGGGAGGAAAGAGGAGCTGCAGTGGGGCATCAGTGGTGGGCAGGGAAAGAAGACTTGCCCTCAAGAACCAGCAGAGGCCGTGCTGCTGCTCAGCGTGAGGACACGTTTTCTGTAGAGCAGTGGCCTTCAGTGACGAGACACGAAGGACCGCGGCCTCGCCGTCAGGAAGTCAGGGTGTCATTATCTGCCATCCAAATCGCAAGAACATTTGGTACCTTGATGAGAAAATAAAGGTTTCTAGGGGGAAGAAAGAGCGGAGGGGAGGCAGGAGGAGGGCGTTCAACCCCTTTAGTCTGATGTTCCTTCCCTGGAACATTAAGATTGTGTGTCTTTTTCTGAAGGTCAGTAATGTCTTGGTACTTGAAGTAACTGTCTAAGAAAAACAGAAATGAACATGGTCACTGTGTGTATGGAGATTGTTTGAATGGCTGGAAGATTCCTCTGATGGCAACCAGCTCCAAATACACATACCCACACCCAGGTGCCCCCTGGGCTGCACGCTGTATTTCTCCCCACCTATAAGCAACCATACACTAACGTTCATAGTGGGGAAGAGCCAGCCCAGCCAGCTCTGCTGTTTACTACATGTGACCTAGAGCAAGTCTGCGTCCTCATCTGAAAACGGAGCAAACAAAAGTCTCTACTCCCAGAGCTGTTAAAGTAATTAAACGATATAATGTGGGTAAGGCACTTAAAACAGCACATGACAGAGTTTTAGGTAACACCGTTGATTTGATTTGATGGTTGTAATAGTTAGGATTTGGGGTTATCTTGGTCTCCGTGGTTTGGCAGTTAAGACCTCGTAATCCACCCGTGATGAAAGAGGCCTCCTCGAGACACTCCGTAACACTCTGCTTGCTTTTCGCAGAATCTGGACCTGCATCTGGCTCATCAACTACCAGTTCTTTGGACTTGAGCCAGTGGCCTGCCATATTGCTTGCTAATCAGCAAGGCTGCCATCTGACCTGTCAACCTTGGATTCACTCACCTCTGCAGCCACAGGCCTGTCTGTTTTCTGTGAGCCTTGGCTTCCCCAGTCTCTACGGCTTCACAAGTCAGGAGAAGCCTCCAGTGGAACATCTGACCCATGTCACAAACTGTCATTCCACTGAGGCGATCTAGCCAAGCCCAAATCCCCGCATGAACTGTCCAGAAGACTCTCCACGCCACTCTGGTTAGCACCAACCCACGGTGCGAAATCATCTCATGCAGCATCTTTTACACATTGAGGGGCGGAGGGAGTGGGAGAGGGATCATTGAGGGACGGAGGGAACGGGAGAGGAGGGAAGTTAAGGTGCGATCCTTGCATAGCAAGATGAAACTCCTCCCTCTTCACCCCTGGAAACCACATAGCTCAGCACCAGAGAGCTGGAGGAACGAGTTCAGCCAGAGGCTCCTCCCT